TGAAGTAATTTAATAAGTGCTTTAAAATCCTTTTCCGTATGTGGGAGGGTATCTTAGATTTTTTTTCTTACTTCTTATGGCATTTTTAATGAAGCATTAATGTATGCAGAACATCCCACCAACCCTCTTTCCATAGCTCTCTTTTACAAACAGTATTTGTAATGTGTACCATAGCTTGTCTTTGAAAATAGAAACAGATTGCTGAACAGGTTTTATGTCCTTTATTAGACTGGAAGATGCTGAATATAGGGCATTATTTAGTCTAATCCCTTTGAGAGTATGTTTTGTATATTACATAAACAGGGTTTCTTCCATCTTCTTAAACATCAGTAATATAACTATAAATTACATCTTCTATATGACAACAGCTGTGATCTCTGTGCTGCAGACTGGATGTTACTGTTTTCACCCCTGATGCTTTTGATTTTTCCATTGTTATGCATTGGTGTTTTTACAGTGTCCTCTACAGGAGCAAGTGTACCTTTTCTAATAGAGGACTTTAATAGTACAGTGATGGCATCTGAATTGTATTCTTTGCTGCCAGAATAATTTACAAAAGCTTCTTTGAGCTATGACCAGTCAAGCTTACAAAAATAGTATCATAAAATACACATTTCAGATGGTAGCACTGCTATTAAATGTGTTTGTTGCCAGAATGAGATGCAGTCATGTGGACACTTCAGCAGCTTCAGTGAAACACGTTGCGAGGGGTTTTCCATTTCAGCCAGCCTAAGCTCCGTCTGTGAGCTCCAACAAAGCATTGCTTTGCCCTGAGCAGCTCCTGCACTGTTTGTGTTGCTGCATGTCGTAGACCCAGTGTCCCACTCTTAAGTTAGATACCTGTCTTCAGAGAAACAAAACTTCCATCCAGAATGTACTTCTGAAATAACATCTGCTTTATGACCATTTGTGCTTTGTGACCTCTCCCAACCTCTTCCTCCCTCACGCTTCCAAAGCTGCATCCCTGCTACTCACTGGGCTCCTTGGACTGTGCTGAGGACAGGGCAAGGAAGCCTGATGTAAATATTGAATTTGATGTGAAGTCAGAGTTCGACACAGCACACCTTTGGCTTCAGTTGGGCCATTAAGAAAGGTTCTGCTGTCTGGGGAGAACTTGGCTTCTGTTTTAGTTCCATATAAAACTGCTGATTCTGAATTGCACTTTAACTGTTGACTTCAGGACATTTAAATGGGAGCGTGGGACATGGGAAGCAGTGAATGCGTTTAATGTTATGGTACTGAGAAGGTTTTATTTTCATTATTTAACGGAAAGCTGTGCAAAGTGTGTTTTACTAAAATGCCTGAGAGTTCACCCTGTGGTGTTGATGGAGCGGTAATTATTGTTTGTCTCTTGAGCGGAAAACAGTTATGGTGTTTCTGGGCTGGTGAAACTGACGAAGTCTGACTTTGTTGCTTTGAAATGAAGCTGTGAAAGAGAAAGCACAAGGAGGGAGCTGACACAGAGCTGCTTCTGTTGGCTGTTTGTCTGCTGGGGAAGGAGGAGGCTCTGGGCAGGCCCGAGGCCTCACTGCCTACAGGACAGCTGGCAGGGACAGCACCTGCCAGTGTCGGAGTTTGCCTGTTAGATCTGATTGTCTTGAGACAAGAGAGAGAAGAAAGGTAACAGCAGCCGGGAGGCGCACCGGCAGGACTTTGGCGCTGCCATTGGGCACTTAGGGTGGCCTTAATCTCATTCCCTCTTGTTTGATCTGGTGGGAATAACTCTCTGGGTAAGGATTATCAAGGGTTGATGTGGAATGTCTTTGGGCACTGCTTTTAGGGTAGAGCTGCCTCTCCCTTTCATCTGAAGTATCTGCTTATCTCCGTCGTCTTTTGCGAGGTTTTTTTCTAGCAAGGAGATAATGTTGGGAAGGGATAGCAGTGTTACCATCTGGGTAATGAGCCAACACACGACTTCACCAGGAGGTGTCGGAGCGTTCTAAGTTAAGCAGGTCAATATGTTTTTTTCTATTTGTGGCTTTTGATGACTTAAAAACTATTTGAAACCAACAAACTTTGAAGACTGCATAGAGGAAAAGACATAGGGGCACTTGTGAGTGGGAGGGGAGAAGGATTCTGCAGACGAATGATTGACAACTACAGTAAGAAAACTGTAACAGGAGTTTCTTAGCTGTATACAGGGGGCAGTTCTTTGTAGAAGGTGACTAAAATCCAATGTGTTTAACGCTTACTGCTGCTCTGAGCACTGCAGTGCTGACCTGAGTGGAAATGTGATACAAAACGGAGTGTGAAGCATCTCTCTTCATCTTGACAGCATCCGTGAGCCATCCCTGCGTGCACCTCCCACCTCCATTTAGTGCTCACCATGTGCTCTGCATGTGTCCATTGCCACCATGGACCTGCAGGACTAAGAAACACATTGAGCCGCTCTCTCTTCCCCTGTCATGCCTTCTCATGGGATTTAAAGCTTACCTGGGGACATGGCCTGTCACTGCAGACAGCGTTGGTGATGGGAGCAAGGTGAGCTGCCCCTGAGAGTTGAGGGCAGCGAGCAGTCCTGTAACTGCTGCTTCCATCCCTGTAGGCTCTGTGATACTCTCAGAGGGAAAAGCAGGATGAAAGCTTTCAGGGAGCTGACCAAGTGCAGAAAGGCAGCTGTTACAGCTAGATCAAATATTCAGTCCCTGCCATTCTGCTTGTGAAGAGGCATAACTTTTCTCTTGCTGCTTCTTGATATGCCAAAAAAAAAAAAAAAAAAAAAAAAAGCAAAGGGACTTAGGATGTGTTGGAACCAGGTGTGGAGCACTCAGCATTGTCTCATTGGTGAAGAACTGTGACTGAAATTGAAGAGCTCTCAAGCGCGTGCAGGTCTGCTGCACCTAGGGCTGCAGTGGGCACTGCGCAGTGCCTGCTTCGTTCCCACCCTGTGCTCAGCAGGAGAGCTGCTTGCAGCTCCTTCCTGCCACATCAGCCTTGAGCTCTGCAGTGTGATGCGCCTGGAAAGTTTGACTGCAGCTGTGTGTCTGTGTGCCTGTGTTTGGTCACGTTGTTTGTGTGCTCCGGCCGGGAGGCTCACAAGTCGCTGCCCGGCAGTGAGGTGGGGCACCCCAGGCTGCAGCACCTCCAGCACACACACATTTGGGACCACTTCCCCAGTCAGCAACCCAGAGCTCAGCTCTCCTGCTGGGGCACGAGCAGCCAGAGCTGCAGCTGTGCGGAACGGAGCTGGGGTACCACAGGAATGCTCTGCGATGACCTCGGTATGAGCACTGCTGGGGGGGCACCAGGTGCCTGGTCTGCTGGTTATGTGTGGTTTTCTCCTCAGTGTCACCATTTTGCTGTAAACAGCACCATGGAATGTAGGATGAACAAAGACTTTCAGAAGGACCCTCACCCAATTCATTGTATTTTATGAAGAAATGGGAGAGTAAGGGGAAGGAAAAATGAACTAAATTTGATGCTGTGTGTTTGAGTATCCATGGAGCAAGCCTGCTTCATGGACCAGTGTGTCACAGCTGAACTTCACATTACAGTCTTTGTTGTACAGATGCATAATTGAACACTGCTACTTAATAGCACCATTAGGTAAAAGGAGGCTCTCTACTTTCAGAGCAAGTCAAGTCAAGCTGTGCACAGACAAGTATGCCATCACAATTGCCACTTTTAGCACGGAAGTTCTCTATTTGTGTAATCCACACAGGTGTGACATTCTACAACAGCAAGTGAGAAAAACAAGTGAAGATGTATGAGCGCATAGATGCAGTTTGTCTCTGGCACAGAGCAGCATCTCCCACAGGACAGCATTTCAGCAGCCCGAGCCAGGAGAGCACCTGAGGGCACTCAGCCGTCCGCCGGTGCCCCACTTTCATTGTGGAAGTTGTGCTCTCAGTGTGTGCAGCAGCTGGAGTCTATTCTTTCCCTTTCTAAAGGTTACCAGTACAGCACTGTGCCTGCGCCTGTGCGTCAGAGCTGTCATTTCAAGCCATCTGCAACATGTGCTGCTGATTATTCAAATGTTAACTTGTTCACTCCTCAAAACATGCAGGAAAAGAGAAAAGAGCGTGGAACAATTCTGTAGAGCTTTGCAGGCTTTGTTCTCCACTTCCATCCACAAAGATACGGGAAATCGTTTAAGGAAAATTCCGTAGCAAGGAATGGTTGTGATTAATTTCAATTTTTGGATCTGGAACTTACAGTACTTTGCACAGTTTTATTGCTTTAACAGCTTTGGTGTTTTTTTTCCTTAGAGGTGCACTGGAAGCCTATGTTCAGTCAGTCAGAGCACGAGAAGGAAAGGAGTTTGCTCCCGTCTATCCCATAATGGTTCAGCTGCTGCAGAAAGCCATGTCAGCCCTCCAGTGAGCAGGAACACAGCCACTGCCTGTGGTGCCACAGCTCTGCTTAGGGTTCATGTAAAGTACCTCCACACACATACGCTTTACAGGGAGGTGTGTTTACCTACTTGACCTGTGCAGCTTCTCACATTCTGATGGGAATTTACACACAAACGTTGTTATGAAATTGTACCCTTGTTATGTGCTATTAAAAATGAATCGTTCTCCAACATTCCTTTTGCATTTAGAAACGCATAAAATTAGAACATATTCAAATATTACAGTATAATTGCTGAATATCTCTAATAAGGAAGTAGCTCTTTTTTTCCTACAAGTGCAGTCTTAAAGAGTTGAATACATATTAGCCTTATTCAGAAAACTGTCCTTTTGAAATGCCAAACTCATCAGTTTCCATCTAAAAATCACTAATTTTAACACAAGGAAAAATACTTATAAATAACATCAATGATTTGCTCTTGCTCTTCTGTCACTCGGGAGTCATTTATAATGATTTCACCTCTCTTTTTGCCTCAACTGTAATAAAGAACACTGCCTTTCCAATCCTGAACTCAGTATTTCAAGTTCTTCAGCAGCTTCCGAAGCATGAAGTATAAAAACAGACTCTTGCCAGGCTCACACAGAGCTGTCCTGGGCTGGGGGTGACCTGACATGGCATCATCTTCATTTCATAAAGTACACAGCACCAAATTTTAATGAATTTATTTGAAATAATATACAAGAATATAGTGTGCAAAAATCTTAGGGGCAACATCACGTAGACGTGTCAAACTGAAATTTACAGTTGTGATTCTTAAAAAAAAAAAAAAAAAAAAGAAACACACAGCTGTTTAGTACATGAAAAGCCATGATTGTAGTTCACAGCAGAAGCAATTGTCATCCTACTGCAGCCGCTCTAAGTCAGACAGTTGGAGGAGGAAAAAAAAGTAAAGTGCAAGTGTTGCACGTATAGTTAAGTGCAAAGTTTGCCCCCACCATAAAGAGGTCTTATGGCGAAATAAAATATTGCAGAATATGTGGCAAAGACCAAACACAAAGTTAAAACTACTCGGTGACGACGTCAACAGCACCATTTTTTCTTGAGATAATGTTGTTTATTCGTTTTGCCCTGGCCCAAGCCCTTGGTTCTGGTGGAAGTGAGGGCTCTGCTACTGCCAGCTGGTGCGAACATCTCACTGCGGATACAGATGCGATAGGTGGCGACCCAAGAAGCAGCTCCCGTGCTACAGCTCACTGTGCTCTCCACTTCCCACATGTCCTGCCAACTTGTTGGCATCTGGGCAGACTGGGAGGCTACTGGTAATACACTGCTTGCCATTTCATAAAATCCCAGCCCCCAGAATCGTAATTAATAATATGGTTGTGCAATACATATAAATCAGCAATAAGAATCGATGTATATAAACAGCTGTTACATATTTTAAAATTCCCCTTTTTGTACATTTTCTTTTAAAAATAAACATTTATACACATCTCCTTCGCCTCTTTCTGAAGTACTTTAGCACCACAGGATATCCATTTTCAAGCCTATATTACCTGATACATATATGAAGTTTGGAAGAGAAATAAGGCAATTTGGTTTAAAATGTTGATAGTTTTAGCTTACTTAATGTTCTATTGTAAAAAGCAATCCGCACTCCTATTACATCGTTTCTGACTTGATGGTGCCAGCATTTTATGGTCACACAAATTCACAACAAATAGATCTTGATCTCAACATCTTCTTGCCATCAAGCAACAGCCATTTTGTCATCGTTGTGGGCAGAATCCTGGCTTAGTGCTGTTGTGAGCCCTGGGGGTAGAGAAAAACACATCAGCAGTTACCACGGAAAGGGGAAGCAGCAAATGGCGGCAAACGTGCATTCAGAAGTACGTGTTATCATTGGTCACGTATTCAGAAGAAAACCAGAGTCCAAAACAGTAGATTTTATTCCAATCACCAAAAGACCACGAAAACTTCTTTGTCTCAGCCTGCAGTTGACCACTGTTATTTGGAGCTGTGAACAAAATGCTTCATTCACTAAAACAAGTAAACAAGTTGACTCCTGCTGCTGCTGTTTTAACACCAAGGTAAGGCCCTACTGCTACACAGGTAGGTAGGTAAGATCTACGTGCTGTGGTAGGTTAAGGAAACATCCTTCTCCCTAAAGCCAACCCAAATATTCATCTCCGTTACATACACACACCCACTGAGCTCCCTGAAGGGCAGTGGCGTGCAAGGAAGCGAATGTGAGCTCTCAGGGCAAGGCCCACAACTCCTGCACTGTAGAAATGGTAGTAATAGTTCTATTAGTCAAAAACCATATGAAAGTTAACAGGGATGCCATTGTTGATTAAAGCAGGATACAGAGCAACATCTGGAAATGACAGTGAACATAAGAACAGCTCGCTCCTGGCAGCTGGTGAAACCTGCCACCAAGGGCTGAAGACTCCCCAGCAGAGGGTGCGTACAGCAGCAAAGAAGCAAACTGGTGTTGGAGCATCTCTCTTATTCACTCTTCTTAGAGCAACATCTCTGTAGGCACTTGAGAAAACAGGCTCACATACACAGGAAAGGAAAGGCAATAACTTGAGATGATAAATCCACTCAGCCCAGCACACACGGAGCTCCTGCTCAGCTGTATGACGGCTGACGTGCGGCACCATGCACCACCCTGCGCCCTTCCTTCCGCCCTACTTGCCTGCTTGGTGGCTTGCAGGTTAGCTTGAAAGCCCTGATCTGTTGCTGACTCTTAATTTGATCGCCTTCTACACAGTGGGAAAAACCTTCCCTACACAGGAAGTATCACCCAGTGTACTTTATAATTAAGACATAAGAATAAGTGAAACTAAAGAAAAAAAATATTACATTTGCTCCCTCCATAGTTTTGTACGTACAGAAGAAAAACCACCAGAAAATGGTAAAGAAAAAGCTTTTAGTGAACAACAGCAGGACTCTGGGGAAGCTTTGGTTGTTTCGGAGAAAGGAACGACTTTAATGTGTGTGCAACCTCATAGGCTCAACCAGGAGCTCACGTGCTCCCCCAGGGCACTTCCAGTCCAACAATTTACAGAACTGCCATGAAGCACAGAAACAGATGTGTGCTGTCTGCCTCCTGTGTCCCACAAGAAGGAAGGAGAGCAGAGCAGGTCCTGAACAGACAGAAAACACCATTGCTACCACACAAACATGTGTCTGCATAATGGAGAAAAAAAACCCAGCTTGACAAAACTTACAGAATTTGTTCGTTTTCGTTTCCAACAATCAGGATTTAAACGCTTCTGTTCTTCTGCCAAGGCCTTGGCTTCTAGCGTGTACATCCGCCTCTCCTCATTCTTCATCTTCTTCCACCTGTCACCAAGTATCACGCTTATGGCTCTGCAACACACATTTCAGACTAGGGTCAAGAATGGGATTTTATAGTTTTTTAATTTTTTTTTTTTTTTTTAAATCTCAGTCCCTTAGGAAACATTTTAAAAAAACGCACAGAAGAAATCAAACATTTCTTCGCAATCACCTCCTCTCTTCTACCAGTCAAACAGCTGAGACTTCTGAGAGCTGAGTGAGGCCCAACAAGCATTGCAGAATTTCCAAGTGTGTGCATGCGATATGCAGCGACTGGCAGAAACCAGCAAAGAGGGATGTTAAACAGTGCTGAGAACCACCACAACCACAGTTGCTTTGCCCTGCTTTTCTACCATAAGCCTGCATGACAGACTGACAGATTTGCTGAAAATATGTTCTCTAATAATTAGGGCAATGATCTGAGCATGACCTCAGGTCTGACTAACTGCTGCCCCCGCGTCTGGTTCGTGATCTGTGGAGCTTCCTCCACCTCCAGCCCCCAGCAGGGAGAACACGAGTGGGCCGAGCACACGGCTGTGTTCCCATGTAACATTCCTGCACAGAGAGGAACCGTTTGTTCCAGCACAGCCATTGGGACTTCCAAGAGCTGAATGAGTCGTTTTTCTGCTCCTTGTAAGCTTGATGACCTCTGGACAATATTTCCCCACGCTGCTGCGCCATATTGCTTAACTGTGCTCCCAAATGTTGGATCAATATTCTATTAAAATGTTAATGCCATCCTTTGGCTGAATGCAGATCTCCGCACAGTCGCTGCCCTATCAACAGTTATTAATCTACAGAGCAGGTATGGCAATGGCTTCAGATGACAGTGATGAAAGCTGGACAACTAGATCTAAGAAAAAGGTGCATGCAACTAGAAATACTGATTTTCCTTATTAAAAAAGCTCCCTGTTGGCAGTGAAACCATTCCCACACATCCTCCCAGGGAAAAGCAACACGACCCAGAGCAAGGTGTGCTGAGAAAGCCATTGCAATTCCAGCTAAAAACTCCAAAATGTTTGCTTTTCAAATGCAATAGATAAGCCTACAAAGAAATGGTACCTCCAGACTCCAACTGCATGGAGGCACTGAAAATGAGGGCTCATCAGCACGTTTAAAAAACTCAAGAAATCTAAGGCACAGACGAGATTCTTCGTTTCTCCAAGGAAACAGTTCTATGAGTGAACCTCCAAGATGGAAAAAAATGCATACAGAGACATCTGACTTAAGAGACACGACTCTCCCAACCAGAAACAAGTACTGCAGAGCTGCCCCTCCAGCCCTTTCATCCCAGCACATCTTTGCCATGCTCTGTACGCTGCCTTTTTCCTCTTCCAGTGCTGGTGAGATGCCCGGCAGCGTTACAGCAACATGCTGCCACAGAGGGTGCAAGCCCTTACACTGCAGTCCGTTCCAAACAAATTGTGAAACAGAATTGGAGGCAGCTTCAAGTTCACTCAAGTAATGATGTTCAGCGCTAACAAATGCCAGCAGAATTTTCTTCGCTTTTTGAATGTATGCTGCCCAAATGATCCATCTTTCAGAAAGCACAACTGAAGCTCAGCTACGGCTACAGCAAGAACATGCACAGAAGCAACAGGTGTGAGCCTGACAACCAGGTCTCTGAAGTACGGCCCTCAGGTCTGGTCCACAGCAGCACAGGCACGCTGGGCTCGGAGCGCCTGCAGCTCGCTATCTCTTCAACATGTCCTGAACCACTTTATCTCCGAACAGACATTTTAGCTCTGAATATTTCAAGTTTTGTCCTCACCCATGTGCACAAAAAACACAAACACGACAACTCCACAGTATGGAAACTGGCACTGTGTACAACCACGGCTAAGATTTACTCAGCACTCTGAACACCAAGCATACTTGTATTTTAGGAACGTGACAGCTGCCTCCAAACAGCCACAGTAACACTTAAGCAACAGCAGCTGAGTGCCCAGAAAGTCAGTTAGTGAGCTCTCACTGTATTTTATGGATGCCAAGAAAGTGCATTCAGAAGGCACAGGGAGCAGTGCACTCTAAAGCTTACAAGTAACTCTCCACTTTGCATCAGTATGAATGTGCTCACTGAAACATTCAAACTATTCTCACACTCATCCAACTGCAACTCTGGCTCACTGCAGCCATTTAATCAGCACTTTTTAATTAAATAATCAAAAACTTTCCTAGCTGACTTTCTGTCACTTTCTCACTTATAGTTGCCATGAATTTGAAGACTGCACATCTGCTTCACTGAAATTACTGGGAACACTGCAGAACGTCACTGCCAGGGTGCACGAGATTGCCTGGAATTTAAGGGTGGGCTGTTTGCATGGCAGGAGTTTGTTTCTCAGCAGCAGCTTCAGCCTCCCCAGCAGAGGAGCCCTCTTAAAGCACCATCACCTTTAACTTCTGTCACATTCTTTTATGCAAAACAGTATTATTATTATTTTTTTTTTTTTGTCACAGTTTTACATACATTTCTTAAATCTGATTTTAAAATGGGTTCATTCGTGTGTTTTCATTTATATTTACAGACGTACAGCCAGCACAACATAGCAGTGTGCTTCAACATACACACACAACAGGCAGCTTTATAAGCATGGACGAACAAGGCAAGATCCTTTCCCCCAAGCACACAGATGCACAGCTCTCCCAGCACATTCCACCAGGTCATTCTCTGCTATTAGGACAAGCACAATTTGCCTATGTGCTGTTTGGATTAAGATCTTTCAGACATCCAATCAATCAGTAACTCATTATCTAACAAGATATACAACTTACAATAAATGGCAGTAGCTTCGTGGATGATACAGTATTACGTCAAGACCATTATGGCTATACTAGAACAGCCAGGACTTCCCTGTTTCTCTAACAACACCCAAGCAGAGAAGCTGGTACTTTTTCCCCCACAAACATTTCTCACCAGTGTCCCACAGACTGCCGTACACCTGCGATGCCGGCGGTGCGCACACTCCTACCTCAGCCGCTGTCCCAAACGCTTTCTCAGCAGAAGGCAAGTTTGCCAAAAATGGCTTGTGTCAAATGTACAGAGAACTGCAGATATTTAAAGCCTGCCCATACATTTTGCGTTAGCATCTTTCAAAACTTAGTCTTTACGTAATATACACACTTGCTATTTCAAGTACAAAATTTAGTCCACTCTATGATTAGAAGCGGAACACGGATCTGCTGCCAGCTCCGCAGTAATAACCACACCGTAATGTCATGCCGTTACCTGTTGTCCTTCCCTGGATACATCTGAGTATATTCAACTCTGTATTTTTTGGCAAAAAGCATGAAGGCATTCATTGGTCTTTTGCACTTGTTTGGAGAAGTGGCACTCACAGTACTTGCAGTCCCTGAGCCGTGGCTTTTGCCAGCTTTGCTGCACAAAGCAGTGGAGGAAAGATGCGATGCTGCAGTAGCTGCACAGTTTTTAGTACTGCATTCTGATCTTTCGGCATCTTGATTGTTTGATCCTCCGCACGACAGAGAAGCGCGACGCTGGCGAGCCATGCTGCTGAGCACATACACTGCTGAGGAGTCCAGCGGTGTGAAGTCGTAACTAGAAGAAAAGACATACCAGAAAACCATCAGATATTTTAGACGTGCAATCCTGAGGCAGCTGCTCTCCCTCCATCCCTGCTACCTTTCTGGTATTCTGCTATCTCTTGTGTCAGTGTGTGCTTTCAGTCTGTGCCTGACACAGACAGGTGGGTAAAAAGGGTCTGGGAGACCAACCACAATTCTGTACCATCTGCTGTGTACCATCAGCTCCCCGGCTGTATGGCAGTGCATCACACACTGTCTGAAAATGTCACACTATTTGAAATGCTCTCTTTCTGCATTTGTCCTGCCTGTAACGCAGAGCTGGTCAGTGCACAACAGCTACTGAAGTGACAACTGCATGAGGAGGAGGAGTGCTGAGTTCCCTTGCGAAAGCATGGTAAGAATATGAAACCCCTGTATTAAAATAAACAGCACTGTATATGCTCTTGCACAAATAACTAAATCGTTTTAAATCGTTACACAGGAATTCTTTTAGAGACAAACCTTCCACTGACATTTGAAGAAATGTTTGGAGGGTCACAGTATTGCAACTGAGTTCAAAGCTGACACACGTCTGCCCTCTAGTGACAAAAATGTGACAGCTCCTCCCCGCTTCAAGCATTTCAACTTGGTGAGCTGCTCCTATACAACTTGAACCTGCAAAAACTATAAAACTGCTGTATTTTTATGTTGGCCAACAACTACAGAGAACTGCAACCACTACAGAAGATGTGATAACAAACAGTCTCTCCTGAGCGTGAGCAGATCAGTCTGGAAACCACAGGCTTTATCATGCAACATGAACACCAACAAAGGTGCTACTAAACTGTAACTTCCGAACTCTGGATTAGCAACCACCTTGCAGAGTGCAACTGTAAGGTTCCTTCTACCAGCTGCTCAGTGTGGCTGTACTTAAGCAAATTATGGCAAAAGGAAAGGATTAGAAGACTTTCTTTTTCCCAAACTAACTAGCACAGAAGTACTGCAAGTGACAGCCCAGACCCACCTGCACAGGCAGCCCCTTCATGGGGGACAAGGCCAAAGCAAGGGTGGAGGTTGAAGGATTGTCTCCAAAATCCCCTGAAGGAGGAATACATAACAAAGCAGGGGCAGTGCTCATAACCTCCAGGTTTACGAGGTAACACAAAAGAATCTCTCTGTTCTCCAAACAGTCCTGCAGTGCTCCTCATCTCACAGCCACAGAATTTTGCTTTTTGATGATTCTGCCCTGCTAACCACCGCTGCTGCTGCAAGCTCCCTTCTCACAGACATTCCCTTCAGACCAAAGAAATAGAGACAAGGAATCTGAGGTGTCCAGCCATGCTTCAGCTAGGCTGCAGAATGAATAAGGAGCCACAGTTCTTCAGTAAGACTCAAATACAATGATTCTACCAGCCCTCTTCACACGCACTTCGGAATAAGGGTTAGTAAGTTTAAAAAAAAAAAAAAAACAAAACAGCAAATGCCCACACAAGATATGCAAGAGCCCTTCAGACATGAACCGCTAACAGCACTTAGAATTCATTTTTTCAACTGTAAGAAATAACAGTGAGCAACTGGCCTAAAATCAGATGCTAAAAAAGAGCTAACATAGATTGGAACATAGGTAGGAAAAGACTCATTCAACCACACTTAGAAATCTCTGAAGAGTGTGGAAAAATCTGTACAAGTTCCTTAGGATAATTCATGGTGGATGGGATTTCTGAAGGTCACCTAGTCCACTCTCAGGCTCAAAGCAAGGCAAACCTCAAGCTCCTCTAACTTTGTCTGAAGTGAGACGTACTTGCTGTATTGGGAAAGAAACACAAAATGCAGAATTTACAAAAATAACAAATTATGAAAGTACTGAAATACTGTATTCTAAAGCCACAGCATGTGAATTAGTGCCTAGGAACCACTGCTTCAGGGACACAGCAGCCTATGAAGCACACATCAGCAGCTGATTAACACTACTGTGGGACAACCATACCGTGTTTTTTAAAGCTAACCTGTGACACCTGAAGAATCTGCACAGACACATTTCTTACTGCTTCACCTGATCAGTTTGAGACTATCATAAGCAGAGTCTGAGAAGTTACTTTAGGCCAAGAGATTACTTTGCAGTTCAGCACAGCACAAAACCACACAGCTTTCCTGATATCCGCTTTCCCTCTCAATTGCCCTGCATAACCGTCAGTATTCCTTCTCTCTTCTATGTAACGCTCACGTTCGGGTAGACTTAAGTAAGGTCCCTACTCATTAAACACAATAACCACTGAGGCCACTTTATTCAAAAATTACCTTTTAAATGTATCAAAAACACCTGAATCATCAAAGTTAATGGCATCAGGGTGTCCAGGAGGTAGACACAGATCTCCAAGATGCATTTCACAGCATGGAATGCCATGCTGTACCACAGTCAAGCTTGGATAAAAAGATGACCAACCTGAAGTGGTAAAGAGTTAAATTAGACAAACGGCCAGACAAATCTCTCTAGTCTTAACTGGAGCAATCCTACACATCTAAATGCTATCATTTCATTAAAATGGTCTGATGCAGCTTCTTTCATCCAAAAGAAAAATCAGAAAACTCTGGAAACTTTTATCATCAGAAGTTCCACATTTAATATGACAGAAAAGTCTCTTGTATTTGCTGATTTCCTTTCTCCCCCCAGTTTACCCATTTTCCTGCATTCCACTCATATATTTGACCAAACCTCCTCGAGTTATATACAGTATTCCTGTAGCTTTACTGTTCTGTTGGTTCAGGTTCTATTTTTCTTTACACAAATAGCACAGTGATTCTACAACACTGCTTTTGTAAGTTCCATGAGTAACAAGAGACAGTAGTAAAACCTGCAACTACTTCCCTAGGAGCATTTTAACATAAAACCGAGCATACTTAGAGTACTTCATACCTTTATTTTTAACATAAAAAGGGTGATCAAGTCTGCACTCTACTGTGAGCAGGCCATCCTCCACTGTGCCAGGATCAAAAGTCAACTTCAGCACTGACTCACCAAAGGAAATGCTTTCCTCATGAGAAATGAGCTTCAAACCATCGGAGCCATAGCCCTGTAAACATGCAGACAGTCAGAATTTCCAGGGAAGGAAAGCATACACGTTTGTGATACCATCAGTGTATTCTTATCATCTTACAGTATATTACAAATAGCAACATTCTACATGTGCTATCATGAAAATAAAAATTGATAAAACCTACCTAAATGAACTCAGCTCAGATGCTTTTTGCCAAGACACGCAAACAGAACAGTGAGCAGCACTAGGCAAGTTCCACACCAACCTCTCTTCCCACACAGTAAATAAAGGCACAGAGTAACACTGCTAAGTCAATACTGCACTCAGCCTTTGAAGGGAATGTGTCAGAACTGAGGGCTACCTTGTAAGCACTCACTGAGAGATTTTCTTCTTTTCCACAGCCTTCAGATCTCGCAAAATCTTCAATGTCCTGCCATTCCTTATTGCGCCCTTTATGAAAGCACAAACGAGAACCTAAGAGATATTTTGAGGAGGGAAAAAAAAAGAAAAACTAATAAATATTGCCATCACATAAAAAAAGAGAAAGAAATCCTTACCCAATGATACGTTGTATTTACCTTTTAGAAAGCAGTGCCAAACAGTTGAGGGCCAAGAATGGCACCATCCCAGATCATCATCATCTGAAAGCGACGACATGCAGAAAATACCAGACTCCGATTCGCTATTTGTCTATTAGAAAAGGCACAATGGCATTGACACGTTAACATGCAAGATTTTTAGGCTGGTGCTGTACACATTTAAGTGTTCTCTAGTTCACACCTGGATCATAATTCTGCCTTAAACACAAACAGGAATGTTAACAAGAAAACAAAGATTCAAGGAATGCAGGAGATGAGAAATTGAGTGATTTCATTAACTAGTGTTCTCACAAACTTGATTTGAAATGTGCTTTTTTTTTTTTCATCCTCCAAAATTCACCTGAGCCCATACAAGCAGTTTATAAGCTATCACTCTTTAATCATCCACAGAAGTACTGAAAGCATTTGTTGTTCTATGGAAAAATTATTGGAAAGCTGCAGGGCCAAGTCTGCTCTTGATAATACTAACAGAAAATCCACCTTAAAACTTAACAGTTCATTTTTTTAACCAGCTTCTCTCCTCAAAAACCTTAGCTCACACATCTTTATTTAGTTTAGAAAGGTTTTGGACATCTCACCCTTTCATGTCTGACCGGTGTTTCATCCAAATCACTCTTGGAGAAGTTGGGATCACTCTTTGAGGAACCCGGTGGAGGACGTGCATAGGAATGTAAACTTTTGCTTGTAGCTATAATGTGAACAGGAGATGATCTGCAATAGGAAAACGCATTTTAAAACATTTCAGAGTAAGGCAATGCAAGACATAACTACCTTTACACTAAACTACTTTGATTTTATGATATTTCACATATGAAATCTTACCGCAGCTGTTATGCACACAAATATCCTGTCAGCATTCAGATTTTCGAATAACCAAGAAACACCTTCCATATTTTTGTGAGATATTAAAAGCACTTTTCCAAGGGTGCTGTCAGTGCTGCTGGCTGCTGACAGCAGGTGACTTACTGTGCGTATGGCTGCAGCTACACTGCAGTCATGGGACAGAAGATACAGCCAACAGTTTTAAATTTCTCTGTGAAATACATTAGAAAACACTTCTGTTTGCGTGAGCCAGACCCCAAACAAACATTCCTCACAAGACTCAGTACAGATTGAGTACTGGATGCACCGCACAGCTCCTGTCCAGCCCCCAGCTGACAGCACCACTTCCCTCATCAGCTTTTCCTCGTCACAATGGAGAAGTCTGCACCGATACCTTGAAATCAATGTTCCGTCCTTAGAGTAGGACCTAAGGATGCCTGCTCTGTCACAGTGCTGAGATCCCTGCTGCATTACTGTTAGCAGCACTGTATTTAATTTTCTTATTCTAAGCCTAGAGCAAAGCCAGATGATAAAAGAGGAAGCCCAGAAAAATGTTAAGATACCACAGTATTTCCCACAGCCTTGGAGAACTTGCAGATTACACATCTGAAACAATAACAATGAATTCCACCAGATTTTCAATTAGCTTATAAAAATAAGTAGGAATCGGTGCACTAGTAACTATTACTAATTACATCACACTAACAAGTATTCAGAGATTAGCACAACACATTCATCTGCTGCTCCACATGAGGCAACTGCCATAAGATCTGTGCTCAGAGATTGCCTTCATAGCACCCTGCTTCGTTGGCGGTTGGCAGTTAAGAGATATTTGCAGCAGATTCTGAAGCAAGTTGTGTGCCATCATCTGCAAAAGGACTCCAGGTACTACATAGAAAGATTAATAAACAGATCTACATTTCAAAGTCAGAGGGCAGATGGTGGGAAGAGTGAAGGAAGTGTTTCTGGAGACATAACATTGCAATGCTGAGCCAGAACTTTCAATTAACGTCAGTACCTGTTATAAAAAGAGCACTGCATCAGAGGGCTCTGAGGACTTGTGGCGATGTTTGCTAGTTCTGTCAGCCAGTTGACCCCATTGTCACAAGAATGAGCACTTTCTGAATTGCTGTTTGAGGTATGTTGGTTCCACGAAGGCCTTGAACATTCCTGATGCGAAACATCGGTGCCAAGCTGAAAAAGCGCAGATGGGGCAGAGTCTGTCTGCACAGCCTGTAGTTCAGGAAGATCATCTACAAACAAACACACAAATTACCATAATTACACCCACTGATAAATACTAGTTTACAATGAAACTTGCAAATAAAATTCAAAACCAAACCACAACAAAGTAACTAATTGTATTTTCTCATCTCACAATTACCAGCATTTCACAAACCCGACTCACAACACTCACAGAATGTTCACAGAAACCACTGCATCTCTGGTCTACCATACATTCAAACAAACACTTTAAGAAAAATGTCATGCAAAGAGGCCATTAAATCTCCTTACTACGCTGACCAGCTGATACAAAAATGTACTGCAAAATTCTGCAGATGCGCTTCAGTAAAAGGCAACTGAACTATTCTGTCCTAGTGGGTATGTCACTAAAAATAATCAGCATCAGAGGCTGTATAGGGTATAATTTGTCATGTTCCCACCAGTGAACTGGAATCTAACAGCTCAGAAATCATTAAAGCTGGGTATACAGCCTGGCAGGTGCAAATACCCAGCAGTAACCTCACATTTCTCATGCTACACAGATAACAAAAAAGAGCCCAGCTTACTAACAACACTCTGTGTCTCATGTAACTAAGTATCGTTGTTCTTAGTTACTCTACCATTTCAATTAAATGCACTAATATTACATGGATTATATCAATCCTTTTTAACATGCACACTACTTTTCTCCAGCATTTAACTCAAGTTAAACATTTCTCTGCTTTGGAATGCCTGGTAGGAGTTGACCTAAAGTAGGGCAACTTCCCTTTAGGAGGAGCTCTTGAGCTTTCTGTTTGTTATTCTTGAGCCAAAAAAAACTCCTCTGGAAATCAGGAACGGAAACTCGCACCTCTAAGTTCAAAGAACACATTTAAGTCAACAAGCCAGTGTGTCAGAGCTGGAAATAGGTTACAGGGAAAAGTGGTGATAAAGCAGGACTTTCAGATGCCACAATTCACTGCCACATTCCCTGCCCTACCTGCATTAAGCCAGTCATCTCATTCAGTCAGCTTCCAGTAACCTCACCACACGAAAACTGCAACCAAACAAGCCTCAGAACTCGCCTCTTCTGCAGGCCGTGTTGCTTACCAAGCTCCATGTGCTCATCACAAGACGCATATCCAGGAGAAGAGGGCAGGTTTTCATTACACTTCAGCAACTCCAGTGACTCATTCATCCCTGAAGTTCTCTTGTCCACTACCAAGAGCAGCTTCTGAACTGCGTTAGGCATCTGATTCGTCTTCACTTCCCACACCATGTTAGGATGTTCCAAAGTATCTGACTTTAAAGAAACAGAGATTAAAACTTGCATACACATAAACCCCCTTAAGTGTTACAGTGCCCAGTGACTTCTCCTGATGTAAGTTTTTATGTGTGTTTGCTCAGGGCTGGAATGTTCCCTGCAGGCCTGTGACCGTGGTGTCCAGGAGCCGCCCTGGCCAGCAAGGCAGTCAGTGCCAGCACTGCCCACTGCATGCCCTGAGCCGCTCACCACCACTGGTGCAGCCGGGTGGGTCCCAGCCAGCTCCCAGCCCCCCAGGTGTGGGAACCTGGTTTTCAGAGGGTTTGCTCCACCATCCTCCTTCCAGGTGACTTGCTGTCAGGTCTCCTAACGCCCTCAGCACCACAATTCCCCTCACCCGCAGGAGCCTTTTCACTACCCTGCCCATCCCAGTAAGTTCTTTACTATGGGAGCGGTGAGGTGCTGGAACAGGCTGCCCAGAGAGGTTGTGGATGCCCCATCCCTGGAGGTGTTCAAGGCCAGATTGGATGGGGCCCTGGGCAACCTATTATTAACCTAGTGTTAAACGGGGAGGTTGGTGGCCCTGCATGTGGCAGGAGGGTTGGAGCTTCATGAACTTTGAGGCCCCTTCCAACCCTGGCTATTCTGTGATCCTCACTAGCTCCAGCCACAGCTTCATGTGTAAGAGCAGGCACTGTGTGTGGGCTGGAAGAGGAACACAAAGCAGGCCCCCACCAGCAGCTTCTTGTACAGTTTCATTTCCCCAGCTCTAGCACTGCAACCTTTACCCCCAAAGCAGCGTTCTTCTTTATCTTTGACAGCCAAGGAGCTGTAGTAATCCTACACAAGTACTGTCCCTGAAAGCTGAAAAACAAGGTTAGCCAGTCTATAGCAGTTTAGTTATCTACTGCTCTTCTTCAAATGATCCCAAATTGAAATAACCACAATTACTTTCTAAGCGTCACAGGGTCCATCACAAAACAGCAAAAAATTCCACTCAGGAAGAAAGAAACTGCTGGGTTTGCCACATGCGTGACCACTGAGTGCCTCCCCAGGCACCGCTTTACATCCAACAGCAGCTAAAAGCTAATCATCTACTGAACAGCACGGCCTCCGAGCTCTCTTGGTGTAATGCATCAGGGGGCACGTGATTACGGTTATGAAAGAACGTTTTGTTGTAACAAACGGTTGGATCCACTCGAGGACAGGAGCCACGACAGCGCCGTTCTGCCTCTAAATAGCTGCAGGACGAACGTGAGAGAAAGGAGAACGTGCGGCCCGACGAGCTCCCGATGGAGCGCCTCGTTCTCCGACGCCTCATCCGCACCGCAGCGCGTTCTGCCCTCGCTATCGGGCACAGCGTGAGGCGCAGCGCCGTGCGCGCCCCCATTTTCTTTGGAGGCACGAACGCATTCCCGGACTGGCGCCCTGCGCTTCGTCAGCTCCTCGCGTTTCGAAGAAAAAAACACCGCCACAAAGCGACACGAGCGAGGAGCCGATTGGCCGCGGCGCCTCGCCTCCGCGCTCGCGGCCGCTCCCCGCACAGCCGCCCCCGCCGCTGCCCGCCCCCTCAGCGCCGCGCCCGCGCCCCCCCGCCGTCACGTGACCCGCCTGGCCGCGGCCCTTGTTTATAAACTCCCCGCCGGCACCGCGCATGCGCGTAAGCCCCATTCATTCACAACTGCGTAACAGCTCGCCCCGGCCGGGGGGGCCGCGCCGTTCCCCTCCCCCACCCCGCGCGCCCCCGCCGTCGTCCCCCGCGCGCTCCTTTCCCCCAGCGGCCACGGCGCGCGGGGCCGGCTCCGCTCCCTGCGTGGCGCGGCGACCCCGCTCTGACAACCCGGGACGGGAGGCCGGGGAGCGGGGCAAAGGAAAGCGGGGGGCTCCGCGGCACCTCGCTTGCCTCCACATCCCGGCGCCGCCGCCGCCGAGCGCCCCGAGGGAGGCAATAACGCGGCCGAAGCGCAGCGCCTACAGAACGGTCCCGGCGCCGCGGGGGTACGGAGCGGAGTAAACGACGCGCCCCGCTCAGCCGCCACCCCACGGCGGGGGTCCCGCGGCCGCCTCACCGTCACCCCCGGCCCAGCAGCCGCCGCCCCCGCGGGACCCCGCGGCCTCCACAGCGACAGCCACGAACTTTGCGGCACTTACCGAACCCGTCGCCATTACCGAATTCCTCTCAGCTTCCCCCCCTTGTCTCGTCCCCCTGCTCGGTCCCGCCCCGCGCCGCCGGGGCTCGATCGCAGAGTGGCCGAGGAGGACGCCGCTTAAGGGATCGCCACTTCCTATTGGCCGCAAGCGCTGCCCGTCAGGAAGGCGCCCGGAGGGCGGACATGTTTTGACTCTCCCGCGCAGCGGATTGCACCATGCCACACGTCAATCACGGGCAGACGGGGCCGCGATTGGCCAACACCTCCCCCTGCGGGCGCAGAGGCATCCCGGGAGCTGTAGTCTTCGCGGCCGCCATCTCCTGCCAACTCGGCCGCGGTAAGACGACAGCCCCCAGGATGCTCCGCGCGGCGCTCGGCCGATAGTAAACAAGGGGCGCGGGGACACGTGGACCCGCGCCGCTGGGCGCCCGCAGCCGGGCCCGGCGCCGCGCAGGAGGAGTCGTCCGGATCTGCGAGCAGCGGGACTCGGCCCGGCCGCCCCCGCTGGGCGAGGCCCTCAAAATGCTGCCGCCGCCGCCTCTGCTGCCCCCCCCTCCCGGAGCCGGGGCCCGGGCCGGCGCTGGGTGCCTGCCCTTAGCAAACCCGCGGGCCCCGGCGGGAGGAGGCCGGCGCGGAGCAGAGCAGCGTGAGTCAGCACGATTGGGGCGGCCCTCGCGCTCCGCCAGTCGGAAGGACCCCGCCGCCCCGCGCTGGGCAGCGCAGCTCAGAAATAATCCGCGGTATTCTAAACAACTGAGAGAGAGTTTCAAAATTATGCAATTTTGGGGCTTTCCGAGAAGAAAATTAGTTATTTTTTGGTGCTGTTCCCAACATCCTCCCCCTCTGCCGAGCTGCTCTTAAATGGCGCTGGTGCTCCTGTGGCAGCTCTGTAGTTCTGAATTTCGGGTATGCCCGTGGCTGGCTGGGAAAGTAAACAACAACAACAAAAAGCATTTCTACAACGTAATGAGAAAGGAGCCCTTAACTGGCGGCCCCTGGCAGCTGTTGGTTCCGTGGAAGGCGACCGCCAGAGGGAACGCTGCGACCGCCAGAGGGAACGATAGCGACCGCCAGAGGGAACGCTGTGCTCAGCGCAGAAGGCTTGTGCAACGGAGAGGAAAAATTACGCTCAAATCGTAGCTGGCCATCAAAAGACAGCGCGCACTGCAGGACAGCCCGAGGCTCGGCCTCTCCAGGAGGCAGTCCTGGTAGCCGTACCGCTCCGCTCTGTGGGCGCTGAAGGGACGTCGCTCCCAAAGCACGGTGCCTTCTGCAGGGCGGAATGGGGACAGCGCTTTATGTAGGTGTGCCGATCCCCGGCCTGTTGAACTAAAAAATCCTCTGTCCTTAACTATGCAACAGGAAAACCCTTTGCAGGTCATTCTCCCAGTTTGAGAATGCAATATTTGAACAAATGGAGCCTTGGCAGAAGATCTGTGGACACACGGGTTTCTCCACTCTGCAAACAGGCTATAGAGCTTGTGCACTGCCACTTGTGAAGCAGAATTCCCATTCACGTCCCTGCCTACCCCAGTGGGAAAGGAGCGGCAGGCACGGGCCAGATGGAGTGGCTACAGAAGATACAAAATCGTGTTCTGGAAAAAGACTGCCTGCCTCAAGGCTAACACCTTGGCTGTGGAGCATGTTTCCACCCCACTAAGTGCTTTTTCTACCCAAAACAAAAAGTGTTTTCTCAGTCTAGTTGTAAAATACATTTGCTGTGAGGGTTCACAGTTATTTAGAAAAACTTGTGGATAAATACTACACAGAAAGCACAGTCATCCCAGATCCACTGGCCCAGATTCAAAAGACAAATAAATACCACTCCTGAATTAGAGCCTCAGTATCACACTTACCACCTTACAAAGAGCACAACAACGGGAATCCTACTTAGGATCTGGATTAGAACTTCGTAAATATGGGAGTTTGAATTGTTTTTAAGATTTTAGAACCAGAAACATAGCAGGTTCCTTATTTTCAAATCTATCTTCTTTGCATATGGAAAGTTCAGTCAGAGTAAATGAGTAAGAGAACAGATATTGCATGCAGTAGATGGCAGCAAAACACACAGAACCTTATCAAAGATTACCTACTAGCCCCCCCGCCCGGTTGCAGTCAAATATCCTCTAACATCCATGTGATGATGTCAATCCCATACTCCTTGCTCTGTGCATCTAGGCTGCAATTAAATCATTGCTCCATGCACACACCCTGCCTCACCTGACGCCGTGCTCCAAATGAATGGCTGCTCAGGGAATGAATCAATACTGTGCAACACCGATGGTGCTGTACCTCTGCTGATTCAGCTGCTTTTGCTGTTTTAAGAGAGGCAGATGATAACATGGGGGATTGTGAAGTCTTAGGAATTCTCATTACCTTATACATGGATAGCTACCAAGAAGCATAAATAACCAGGAATGACTCCAAGCACACAGAAATTGATACAGATAAATTTACATTCACCCTCACTGTCTTACCTAGTTATTTATTTCTGAACATGCCCAGCCTCAAGGTGGTGAAACCACAAAGTAGATTAAAATAATAACAATAATAAAAGATCGGTCATAGTCACATATTAAAATAAATATTACATCCTGAATTTGTGCCTATCTCTAATTCTCATCGAAAACCGATGTCCTATCTTGCTTTTTATGACACAATTGCTATTGCTGACTCTCCAAAGTACAGCCTATCATCACTTTAATTCTGCTATACAGATGCTTTCACATCCACATGTGCATATCTTTCCACCCTTAGTAATTAACAAATGACTCCACACAGTTCAGATAACCCTGCTTACCAGGCCTGCCACCTTCATCCAGCACGGCAGCCTGTCCTGCAGGTGTTCTACAGAGCCTCGCACCTCAGTCTTCTGTTGCTGTGACTTTTTTATCTTCTGCAACTGTTCTCATTCTCTCTAGAAAAGTATTTTGTCATTATAGCACAGATTCTAGTTCTAGCTAAACTGTTATCATCTACCAAAACAAAGCAAGACAAAAAGTGGCAACAGTATCAGGAACACAACGATGAGAAACAATCCCAAAGAAAGGGAAATAAGAAAACCTTTGCCAGTCCAAGGCTAGTAAGAAAACAAATCAAGAAGAGACTACAGATGATCCGGAGGTTTTATCTAAACTGTAGTGCCAGGGAGTGTTTGGGGGCACTGGAATACAATCATCTGTACTGTTCTTTCTTTTTAGAACAGTCCTGTACTTTCTTTTTAGAACAGTCCTGGAGCAATTTTTGTGAGGCCAATAGCAAATAATTCTCAGACATGGTTTGGGAGCTAGCATGGACTGTTCTCAGTAGGCCACCTGCGTGTGGCCACCTCATATAGAAAGCTACATCTTATAAATGAGTCTACACAAATTCTACAGAGTGGCAGAACATTGACTATTTCATGCCCCAGTAACAGCAAACAGTGTCAGGCACATATTTTTTACTGTGGATGTAATGGTACAGATTTAGTTAAAAGAAAGAATGGGAACTGAAGTCACAGTGAAGATGAGGTTGCTTAACAAACACATCATGCGACTCCACAAGGACAGAGCTAGGAGGAGAAGGGTAAGGTACAGCTTGGTAAAAGCTGCACTACCTTTTCCAAATATGGCATTTATCAAAACTGAGTTTCCAGCATCCTCAGAGGTGTGGGCAGCACATCTCAGGGGCTCGTGTGGTCGTGAGGGAATTACTCCTCCATACAGCACTGCCTGCACAGAGCACAATCTCCTCCCAAAACCTCACAGCTGCTCAGATAAAATAATCCAATAATTTGAAAGAAGAAAGGACAAAGCATACATACCATGCAACAGTGCTATTTTTAGTCTGTCCTAATTTCATTCACCTCAATAAGAAGAGATTGAGTCAGCACATCCTGTCAGAATGGACTAGTATATGTAACTCCTGTTGGCAGTTCTTCACACTGCTTTGACTGAGCAATGTTTTCTTTATATAACAGTTTGGCCTTTTCCCTATAAGGCATACACAGTTCTAAGGAGGAAACACAGCCAATGGCAGCACCATTGCTGCTCTCTAGCTCTGCTGGATTTGCCATTATAGAAGGGACAGGAAGAGGGACAAGGAAGAGAATCACTACACAATCAGCAGGGCACTGCGTCCCAGCAGCCCCAATAGCCATTGCAGTTCTGCCACTGCTTCTTCACCCAGCTGCCAGGATAAAGTTCATTTAGAAAGAGATGGGGTGAAGGAAGAGACAATGTTGAAAATGTAACAATTTTTTTTTTTAAATCCTTGCAAGGTCATTCAGCTTACTCTGGTCCACCAAGTGCAGTGCCCAGCCTGTAAATACCCGAATCAAAATGGGGATGAAGAATCTAGAAACAGTCTAGGTATCTATCTGAAGGAAATCCAACTCTGATTGGATGTGGATACAATCCTAAATTTTGTAAGGTAGCCAATACTGCTGATTCCAACATACTCAACATGCAAAGAAGCGGGCATCAGTTGTTGGGGGGTGAGACCTGACAGCGCTGGTGGGGAGTCACACTGCTGCTGTGCGTCAGTCGGTGGGTGGTAATTGCACTGTGGCTGGATGTATTGTTGTTATTGCATTTTTGTTTCCATTTTCTTCTGCCCTGGTAAATAGTTTTTATATAAATAGACACATTCTATTTTGTTTCCAGTTCTCTCCCTCCTCCCATGTGGTGAGCAGTGAACACACAGCCATGTGGTGCTGAGCTGCTGCCAGGTCAATCCACAATGAAGCTGCAGATGGTGCCATAACGCATTTCATAGTTTTGCCTCAAGACCTCTCTACTTCTGGATTTCTGTACACAAGAGGTGCAGTGACTGCACCAGACCTTGTCTCAAACAATCTCCTGAAGCACAAACAAATGACATTCAAAACCACTCAGAAATGACACTAGGACCAAGGAGCTTTGGTTTCCTCAGAGTTTGTGTCTTGTGGTTGAGTGGGGGCTGTGGCTGAATGTCTGTTCCCATGGTTCAGACATCCGTCAGCATTCAGTGCCATGCATATTCTCTTGTGCTTGGTAACATCTGAGCTCGTGACTGCCCTTCAAACTAATTGGAGCATTTATTTTGTTAGCTTTCATCTTTAGAATGTAGCCATTTGCCAAATATATTTAAATCATCTGCAGAACTAGATCT